GTCCCTGAGGGGGTGCTGTGGTGGGGGAGCCAGGGGGCTGGCTGAGGGCAGTGGGTGCCCGGCGGCGGGTGGCAGCTGCTCTGCCTGTCTCTCACAGCAGCTGGAGTTCATCACCCCCTTCCAGCTGTACTTCAACCCCGACCTCATCTTCAGGAAGTTCCAGGTGAGGCCTTGACTGGGCTTCGGGGCCCCTCTTGCCCCTTCCCAGTGAGGGGTGGGTGCGACAGGCTGGGCCCTGGGTGTCTCGCTCCCCAGGGTGGTCAGGGAGTGCTGTATGATCCCAAGGGGCTTCTTTCCCACTACTCCAACCTTCTCTGATTGGCGGGAGCTGGGTCGCCAACATGGTGTCCCCTCTTGTCACAGACGCCTGGATGGAGATGGCTTCTTCCAGCCTTTCCCTGCCATACACCATCTCGGCATTTCCGGCGGGAGCTGGGTCGCCAACATGGTGTCCCCTCTTGTCACAGACGCCTGGATGGAGATTCCAGCCTTTCCCTGCCATACACCATCTTGGCATTTCCCTTTTTCCTTTACTCAAAACCTGTCTCTTCCTTTTCTGTGACACTGAGATGTTTGGCCAGCTGATGTCAGGCTGGGAGGGGAAGGCTTTATTGTAGAGAGGGATGAACAGCGATTTGATTTGATTTGATCTTTGGCTCTGGGTGCTGAATTGTGGCTGTTCATCCCTTCCAGAAAAGTAGAGAAATCTTCCTTCCCACACCTGGAAGGGCAAGATACTCTGATGTGGGCAATGGAGGGAGGTCCCATGTGAAGGTGGTGCAGCTGTCTGGTGTCCTGGGATAGTTCTGAGTGGATGGGTGCATGGCTGGGCATCCCCAGTGGATAGGGTGATGGGCTGCTGTACATGTGATGGGGAGAGACCTGTCTGTCCACCTCCTTTTTTCTCTTCTCTCTCTTCTCTTTCAGATATGGAGGCTGATCACCAACTTCCTCTTTTTTGGGCCCCTGGGATTCAGTTTCTTTTTCAACATGATATTTCTGTATCCTTTGGTCTCAATGAAGCTCTCTGCTCCCTTTTTGGCTTAGACGTGATTCCCCCTGTCCATCTTCCTCCCCAGGCTGACTTGTCTTGGCAGCAGTCTAGGGCTGTGGATTCTTCCCTTGGCTCTTTTGGTCTGAATTGAAGCCATTCCCCTGACAAGTCTGGCCACCTCCTGCACCTCCATCTCTGCTTGCTGCAGGGCAGCCCCTGCCAAAAGGCTGAAGAAGCTGGCAGTGCTGCTGCGGCTCATGCTGGAGAGCAGTGCCCATTCCTGGGGCGAGCTCTGGCTGGAGCACAGCAGATGCCTCTTTCTTTCCCTGGGGTCAGTAGTATGAGGTGAAGTTTGCACTGTTCTGCTCTGGGGCTTGGACACCTGGCTGACAGCTTCCTGTGATGAAATAGCTTGCAGTTGGCTTATTCCCCATAAAGTCATGCTGTGGGGACACAGGGTGGCCAGCTGTTAATTTCCTATACTGCAACCCCTCCCTTCTCTCCTGCTCTCAGGTACAGGTACTGCCGCATGCTAGAAGAAGGCTCCTTCCGTGGAAGGACGGCTGACTTTGTCTTCATGTTCCTCTTTGGAGGGTTTCTCATGACAGTATCCTTTTGAGTCGGTTGAGACTCATTGGTGTCTTCTGAGATGCTGTGGAAAGTGTGGGGCTTGTCTGCTGGTGCTCTGTATCCTGGCTGTATTGTGTGGTGCGTAGCAGGTACCTGCCTGCTGACGAGAACAACTGGCTTGTGAGCCGCCTTGGTGCCATGGGCCAGAGAGCCGTGTTGTGCCCCTTGCCTGCCAGGCTCATGCCCTGAGGCTTGGGAGAGCTCTGCTGAGCATGTGGTGGAGGGGCAACTTCTGGCTGTATGGCACAGCTTGTGCTTGTCGTCTTGCCCACCCTTTTCTCCTGGCCTGTGCCTCACCCAGTATGCTTAGATCGGAAGCAAAATACAGGAAAAGCTGCCTGTACTTGTGTTGGTGTCTGCAGAAGTGCTGAATGCACCTGGTAAGGGGATGGGCTGCCTGATCCCAGAAGAGGACGTGTGGCAGTGTGCTCGGGAAGCTCAGCCTGAAAGGAAGCCCCTTGTTATGCTCTGTGAGAAACTGTCCGGCTGCGGCAGGGCAACTGTGTCTGATCTCTGGTGGGTGGAGCACACTGCAGCGCTGCTACCATTGGCATGAGGCTGGCTCAGAAAACCAAGCTGCAGCTGCAGGGAAGAACACGGAACTATAAGGACAAGGAGTGGGGTGCCCACATACTGTCTGCTGTCAGCACGTCAGGCAGTGTGAGCCCAGTGCTCTGTCCTTGCAACCTGTCAGTGGCTGGAGATACCGTCACACATCTTAAGTTCTTTTATTGTAGGACAAAATAGTTTGATGGGGAGAAACATCTCCCTCCCAAGCATAAAGCCTTTTCTGAATGTCTTGCTGCTGTCTTATGCAGATGGCTCAGAGCACTGCTCTCCCCACAGAGCTCTGCATGAAGCTGTGTGAACTCTCATGGCTGTTGGCCACCCTCGGGTGTTTGGCTAGTCAGTGTCCAGGTGCCTGCAGCAGCCACGTGCTTGGCCATAGGTGGATTTGGAGTCCAACTACAACAAGAGCAGGGGAATTTTTTGCCTCTGGCTCTCTCCTTGTGTTCTGGAGAAGAGGGTTGTGAATTGCAAGAGCCATCTCACTGCTGAAATTCTTCTGTAGAAGGCAGATACTGGATGTGAGCTGGTTGTTAATACGTGCCACGTGTCCCAAGTGCTGTAAGAATGTGAAGGCCCTTCTCTGAAGGTCGCTTTGTAGACATGACTATATGAGCTCCCTGGTCTCTGGTGGTTGTAGACAGCAGCTTAAGAAGTGAGCAATCTGTACATGCCACTCCAGAGTGTCTTGTTCTGGAGTGGCAGGGAGGGAAATGTGGTGTGCGAGGGTGGGGGAGGTGGTACATCTCAGCCAGCCCAGGAAAGGTTTGGTGGAATGGGCAATGTCTTGCATGCTGCGATCAGCTGCCTGTAGTTCTGGGTTTCCTAGTCACAAGGCACCCTGTGCTGCCTGGAGGTGGTGCACAGGGTGGGTAGGTTTTTCCTTGACTCGGTAGTTCCTAGCTATTTGGACTCTTTGCCAGCCTGTTTTTCCTGGGCCAGGCTTTCACCATCATGCTGGTGTACGTGTGGAGTCGCAGGAACCCTTATATCCGCATGAACTTCTTTGGGCTTCTTAACTTCCAGGCCCCCTTCTTGCCCTGGGTCCTGATGGGATTCTCTCTGCTCCTGGGCAACTCCATCATCATCGACTTACTGGGTACGTCAAAGCTGGCGGGTGCTGGGAACAAGGGCACTTTGCAGCCACAGTGCTCTCTATTCTTACAGATGCTACTGGGGCACTAGCACCGTCTCTTGGTTTCATCTTCAGATGGTGGGTTTCCTAAAGTGAGCTGGCTGAGGTTGCTGGGTGACCAGCCTCGTGCCTGAGCTCTTGCTTGTGACCTGCATTTTGCTGTGTCTTCCCCAGGGGCAGAAGTTGGGTATGGTGAGCTCTGCCTGACACTTGTGCTGTGTCTCGTCTCCTGGGTGCCTGGTGCTGCCTTCAGGCTGACAAGCTCCCTGCCTGCTTGTGTGCCAATCACAGCAAACTGCCTGGCCCTCTGACACTGCAGCGCAGGTGGCTCTGGTGGGAGCTGGGGCATGGGTACACAGCTGAGGGATTCTTGGAGCTTCATCCTGCTTAAGCTCCCAGAAGCTCTGGTTCAGCTGGCGAAGGAGTCACAGCTGGGCCTGACCTTGGTGACATCTCTCTCCAGGGATTGCAGTGGGTCACATCTATTATTTCTTGGAAGATGTTTTCCCCAACCAGCCTGGAGGAAAGAAGTTGCTGTTAACCCCTGGCTTCCTGTAAGTAAAGCTGATTCTTTCTGGGCTTTGCTGTGTTGCTTCCCAGCCTGGGTCACTTTCATAGCAAACTCTGGTCTGTGATGGCGTTGGGTGACCATAGGACACAATTGCACGCTAATAGCACCTCAGCTTGACAGTTTATGCCTCTGCTGCAGAAAGCACTGGCACTTTGCACATTATATACATACGTACTCAGGGTCCATAAAGCAGTTGCTGGTACCTTAAGCTTTGCTAGTTGAACTGGAGTGTTCTTACTGCTTGTGGAAATGCTAGATGCAGGTAGGATTTTTTTCTGATGTATTTCTGTAGTTTAAGAAAGCAGAATATGTTCTGCTTCATGCTGAGGATCAAGCTGACCTAGAGATCAAGGAAGCAGGTACTGTCATTGTTACATAGTGAGCTGAGCAAAAGAACAGTTAGTGCTGGTGCAATAGGCAGGTGGTTGTGGCATACAGCCAAGCCCCATGAAGGGTTAGGATGTTCCTAGGAGGGCTGGGGGTTTTGTCCTCAGCTCACTTTCCTAACCTGCCTGCTTGGTGGGATGGGCATGTCCCTCGTCAGGAAGATGGTATTTGACACACCTGAAGAGGATCCCAACTATAACCCTCTCCCTGAGGATCATCCAGAAAACCAACCTAGAGACCAAGACCAGAACCAGCAGCAGCATCCACAGTAACACAGGGGACTTCTCCGTGTGGCCAGATTCCTCTCTTCCAGCTGGACTTACGCTGTGGCCCAGAGATCCTACTGGAATAACACCAGTTGCCATTCCGATGTGTAATGTTTCACTGTTTGTATGGGTAACCCATCTTCCCCTTGTACCAAGTGGTTCCACAGAGCTTTGCACGTAAGAACTGATGAATGCTTATGGAGGTATTCTAGGAACAGGGACTGGAAGCTGTGATGGCCCCTCAGTTACCCAGTGGGGAATAAGTATCAAATGGGGTGTTAAACCAGTTACTCCTTCTCTTGCTGTGTGCCAGGTCACTCTTGCCCTCTGTACAAAGACTAATGCTCCTGGCTCTCACTGTTGCGAGACCTCTTTGTGGGCTTTCAATGAAGTAGTACTCCCAACTCTACCATGGTAGAATGCAGCTCAGCCTCTTCCTTTCCTCTAAGTCCCCCACTCCTTTTTCAGTTGTTGTTTCCAAAGAGTCTTTACATTAAAGTCTTTATTTTTCAGTTGTGTGTCCATTTCTGCCAGGGGCAGAGGCAGCAATTCATCAGTACTCATCAGGACTTTGCTCAAAACTGCCAGGCTGCTTGCTTGGGCTTTTCTTTTTTGGTGGGGAAAGTTCAGGCTAGCTGGAAGATGTCCTTCCCCTCTTCTGTCAGCAAGACTGCAGAGCGTGAGAAGGGGCTGGGGGGGGTGGGGGCAGATGTCTAGTTGGAGAAAGGGAAGCCTGGGAAAGGACAGGGGACAGAGCTGGACACTTGATCCAGGCAGTGACTGGAAGTAGCACTTGACACTAGTAATAAAGGCTGTCTGCACATGCAGTGTAATTCCACTCTTGTTGAATTTTTTAGTTCTGAAACATCTGAATTTTAGGGGAAAACTAAACAAGCTAGTCCCTACCATGAACAGCTGTACTAAATGGATTTGATCATTTTTGCTAATGCAGTACACACTGTGCTTGTACCAGACCTCAAAGCCTTTGGAGTAAATCTGCAAACATTGTATCTTACGATAGCTCATTTGGTAACGTTGCTGCCTGCTCAGCTAGACAAGCTTGCAAACCACCACTAAAACTACTAAGAGAAATGTCCGTAACCAGCATCTAAATAAGAATAATGATATAGAAGCCTTGTGGCAAAGGAAGATTGAACCACAGCCGGCCCCCCCCCCCCCCCCCCACATGGGCTTCCCATGAAAACACCTTTTTTATGAAAAATCAGACTTCATTTGAACACGCTATTTTGCTGCACTTATGTTTCCCTCTAGGAAGAGGATGAAAGAACTGCACAGATGGTAATCTTGTTCTAGAAGACACAGCGGTACTAAGGGCTAAGCAGCCTCAGACTCGACAGGTACTCACTGTGTGCTTTGCTCATGACCTAAGAACACAGAGCTGGCGTTTCAATCCCTGGAAAGGGTTTGTCTTTAAAGTCTGCAGATGTTCTGTTTTAAATTGCTTCTGAACGGGACTTTGAAATGCAATAGCTGGGCTACACTTTTAGCTAGGGTACTAGATTAACCTAAGGAGTTGTGATTACAGAGCAAGAAAGCTGCTCCCAGCTGTTCCCCAGCAGTCCTAACACATGGAGAAAGCTGGCAGAAGTTCTCATCTTTCTGGGACTTGGCCCCCTGTCCTGCCTTGCCTCTGGCTGCTTGGAGGGACAATTCCTACAGCCTCTCTGGGGCTTGAGAAGCAGAGGGAGGTACTTATAAACTCACTACAGAAGCTGCAGTCCTTGTGTGTTCATACCTTGTCGTGAACTTTAGGATTAGGTAACCACAAGCTTCACAGTAATTAAAAAATTGCACCACAGATGCTAGTTTAAGGCTACAGCAGTTTCCTGCTTGTTTTGGTCAAATTCCCTGAAGAGGCTGCTTGCAGAAGTACCTGATCATAACAAAGAGAGGCTGAAGTGCTCTCAGGAAGAGTTGGAGTTTTTATGTCCATGAGGCAAAATATGTGTTCTACATGGGAGGCTGAGATGCAGCAGGAGTCCCAGGTTTTGTCTTACTTGCTGAAATAACCTTTCAATCTCTCCAATAAGGAATAATGGATAGAGTACTGCTGTGGCACAGGAGCCTAGGATAAGACTGCAATAATACTGCTAAATTGCAAGTTTTTGGTTTCTGCAGACTAACATCTGGAAAAAGTTCCCTCCCACCCAGGAATCAGAAGTGGCTCTGCTATTACTCAAGTCTAAACAAGATAAATTAAGGCCGGAAAGTGTTTTTCGACTGTGCTAGCAGTGTGGGTGGATCAGCAAGGATCGTAAAACCTATTGGCTTTATCATAAAGGCCTGAACATAACTGTCAGGCTGCCAGCAAAATCTGCCCTGCTTGCAACACTCGTCAGTTCTGGCAGTGCATGGTAGGAACTCTATCAAAGAGCTAGTGTACCTCAACGGCAAGGTAGATTCTAATTAGTTTTTTAAGCAAGCTTGAATTTTTTTAATCTCACTTCAATGGATTTTCTGTTTTTAAACTTCCCAGGGAAAGACAGGTTGTTTCTAGGGTTGCAAAATCCTGACACTGCAGCGCTAAGGGTATTTAAGACACCCACTTTGCTTTGGGTGCTCTGTGCACTGTAACTGGCAGCTATGTGGGCTGACAATGACCACAGCAAAGCCACTCGCTGAGGAGAAGCTGCAGTCTCAGTAACTGCAGGCTTCAACTTTTGTACCAGTTCAGAGACTTTGTTGTTTTCCAGATGCGGTCTTCACAGAAAAAAGGGTTCACCACACAGCAGGTTGACATCTGACAGAAAGGAATGTTAAGTTTGTGGCTTCAGTTAAACTGTTCTACCCTTGTCAAGTAAGCCAGCTGAACACCTCACCGAGTTCATTACAGACTGCACCAAGTGTGGTAACAGACCAGTCCTTTAGAGAGGTGTTTGCTGCTTCTAGTTTTAAGTCTCATTCTCACTTTCCCCTGCAGCAAAGGGTTTCGAGCTGTTTTATCTGTTGAAGTAAAGCACTCAGGTTCCACCATGCTTCAGGAAAACTGAATGCATGTGGGTGTTCAGCATTATACCCAAAAGCATTAATATTAGGCCCCAGGACTGCTCAGTTACCAGAATAGCACAAAACATGGCAAGATTCACTATGCATTCAAACTTACTGAACTCAACCTAAGTAGTATGCATTCCTTTTATTTAAAAAGTTGTCCTAATAGTGCATGTTGCACCTATACAAAAGAATCTTTACACTGTCCACACACAGGTATATAAGGGCTCCAACAGCTGCCACAGGTCTCAGCTAGGTCACGTGCTAACGCAGTGTTCTTGGTACGTGGCATTTAGGTGGAGGGGATGGGGGCAGAAGTCAGCAGTACTGGGAACTCTTGGCAAGTGGAATGTGTGTCCCCTTCAGGGACAGAGAGACCCCTGCCAATCCTAGATCCATTTGGGGAGAAGAATAGGGATAAAGTCTGTAGGAAGAGCACCAGTGTCACAACAGGAAGATTACCAGGCTGGAGCAGTATTGGCCAAACGTCTCATGCGCCTAGGAGAGACAGAAAGAGGTACAGTAAGTGCTGGTTACAGTCACGTGAAATCTTATTAAAACCAACACTTTTGGGGAGGCTGCCACAGATTTGTGAACTCTGTAGACAGGTTTATTGCATAGACAGACTTCCTTGGTCACCTCAGAGTGCCCGTTGATATGTTTAAGACACTATTTTCAGTTAACAGCTTTTAAGACACTTTTGCTCATTAACTTGGATTGAGCCAATCACTGCTGAAAACTATTCAGACAGCCATAGCTGAGAAGCAAAATAATTATGAATCTGTTAATCAGCAGTAAAAAAAAATCCTGGGAAAGAGCTGAGCCAGCATATTTACTGTTCCCACAATGTATCTTTTGGAGAGATTCTAGCAGTTCATTTATATCTGCCAGGAGCATTTTCACCAAGTAGGAGCAAGTGCTCTCGACCGCTTGTCGAACACCACTCAGTGGGTCTCTCTGGTGCGCAGAGCTCCTCCTGGAATCACAACAGTGTTCCCATGCTGGCAAACAGACTGGCATCAGTCAGGCTGGAGCCGGGAGCTTGCCTGTTCCTACATCAAACAGCACTTCACCCTACATAAAAGGAAGCCTTGTGGTAGGATTCTAGGTAGCATGACAGTGCATGAAACTCCAGTATTTTTGATGAATGACTTCCTACAGAAACAAATCCCCCTGCACAAGCAGAGAGCCCAGGGAAAAGAAAAAAGGGAAAAAAAAAAAAAGAAACTTTGCTTCAAGCAGGAAAAGTAGAGATTTAGTTAAAGTTAAAAGTTAAAGTAGAGATTTAAATGTTTGTGGAGCAAGGTGATAACAGTTTAATATCCTGAAGCTAAAGGGATATGAGTTTCTGTTGTGGTGTGCAAGTTTGAAATCCAGCCAGTTGGCTCTCACCAGAGAAACACAAACATCAAAGCTTTTAACTTCTGTCTTAGAGACAGGCCAGAATGAGAACTGTCTGAACGAGTGGCAGCACCTTGTATTTCTGTCCTGGTCTCTGATCTTCTTTTCCATCTCGGCATCTGTGAGGGTTTCCAGAAGAGGGCACCACTGGTCAGCATCCCCCGTGTTGCGAATGGCAATTTCCACAGTCGGCAAAGGGTTCTCGCTGCAAGGCAGGACAGAAGGCAACAAAGCAACATTCATCAGTGGTCCCAGAGCACTCCTCTGGGTTACCAGCTCAGGTGCGAGACACAAGGACAACAGAGCATCATTTACAGTGTTTCAGGCTTAAGCATTCGTTCTTAGCCCTGCTTAGTACAGTCTGGTTCCCAGAAGCACACGAGGGACTGATGGTTACAATCTTGTGGAGCCTGAAGCTTCTGGGAGACCAACTACAACCATCTCCTTTCACCACCAGAGAGGGGTTTCTCAGAGCAACTGTGGCTGACGCAGTTCTCTCCCGCAAAGGCCATTACGTAATTGGCTGCCAGCGTTCAAACCCAGTAAGTACAGGCAAAGTTCATACCAGTTTATTGGTGCTGGGAGCGCTTCCCCCAGAGCAGCAGCTGAGCAGGGACTCTTAACAGGGCTCTTTGTCCAGCTTTGCCGTTCCGCAACTCTGACTTCCTAGCTGTAGTTTGCTTTGCACACCTCTGACAGCTCTTCCCTGGCAAAAGTCTGGCTTTCTGGGAGCCTGATAGTGGAACAAGCATTGTTCTCCCAATTGCCATGGAAAGGGTAGTCTTTTAGGACCTGCTGTTGCAACCAGAGGCTGTGGCTACCACCCTGCACAAGCAATGAAACACCAGGCTCTGTCCCAGATCACAAGATCTGCTCCTCAGAGAGATCTCTGCCCTGAGCAGCTGCATTGTCACATGCACAAAAATATTTACTGCTTCAGTAGCCACTTTTCAGTAAAAGTCAACAGGAACTGACCAGGAGTAGCTTCCCAAATATTGACAGTGGAGCCGGAAGCCCAGCATAAATACAGAGGAGCCTCAGAATGTAAATGTTTGCTTTGAATTCTAGAAAGTGGCTCAGCCTGAGCTGCACAAAGTGTGTC